GCTGCGAGAGCAAACCTCTCATTGTCTACTTGTATTGATTCTACTCACTCTCATCACACTACCTTGCCTGTTATCTGCCATCTCTAAGCACACGCTGCCATTGTGACTAGACGTGTCATCACTAATGTAACTACTACGGACTACATTACCACTAATGTTGAGCAAAGACATTTCTGGCTTGAAGGTGAATTCAAGTCTAACTATATTAAAAGATTATTTGAGAAGGGAGACATGAGCGAAGAACTGGCAATCTGAAAGGAAGAGAAAAGCAAACAAAGCATACAGAAAAGAAAGAGCAAACAAAGGGAAAAAAAAATAGCATTTCTTCTCCAGCGAAGCAGGAAATATGCCAAATTCCACAAAGAGAATGAGATACAGAAAGGAATTGAGCAACGATGTGCTAACATTTTAAAAAGAACTCTCTGAAATAAGGGTAATATCCCCATTAACCCCCAATTCCTTCTTGCAAAAACTCCCAGCTTGCTCCCAACACATCACTTGCCACTTCCTACCCTCCATCACCTCTCAAACCCCTTCGGTGTGTGCGTGTATAGAAACAGGGTGATGCTGCCCCCTGGATACTTATCTCCACTGTTAGAACTTTTATCTGAGTGGAGTAGCAGTGCCCAGAGAGCAGCCTGTGCCCTGGAGCTGAGCCAGGCTCTGGTACACTTACCTCAGGCAAGGTGGAGGGCTCTGGGCCCTCAGGGGCCTCTTCAACTTCCATGTCCAATCTCTCTGAGTGCAGCAGGGGTGCCCCAGCCCTCAGACCGGGGGCCTCCAGGGGCCGAAGCTCAGAGGGGTGCAGTGGTGTGGGTGGAGTGGGTGGGCAGTATGCTGATGTTGATGTTGTTGATGATGATGATGATGGCGGTAGTGGTGATGATGATGGTGGAAGATGAGGAGGAAGAAGAGGAAGAGGAGGAGGAGAGGAGCCAGCCCCCTGTTTGTTATGAATAGTGGCCCCCGTGGCCCCTGGCCGAAGTGTGCTGCAGTAGTTGTTGGAGTAGAGCCCTGAGGAGCACAGGAAACGAGTCTCACCCACCCACTCACGTACAACTGCAACTCTGCTAGCAGCTGGCCACCAGAACACAACGGGAGAGAGTGGGCAGGGGGGCACACAGAGGCTGCCAGTGCTACACTATCAAACACTATGGAGAGGGGGAGGAAGAAAAACTCTGAAGTTTCACTTTCCACCAGCCAAGGGGAAAGGGTTAGGGCTTCTCTTCTCTCTTTCTCTCTCTTTTTTTTCTTTCGCTCCTCTGCTCTCCTTCTCCTTCCACCCACATGCGTGCGCAGAGGATGGCAGCGGGTGTGTGTTTTGTGAGTGTGTATGTGCCATGTTGTGTGAGTAAAATGCATATAAGGAGAGGGCTTGAGGATCCTCTGTAGCGTGGAAGGAGATTGTTTTGGAGAGGAGCCATCTTGCAGCTCAAGTGAAGATTTTTTTTTTGTGCACGCAGGGTAAAGGACGACTACATCGACCATGTAAGATGTTTACCAGCAACAAGTTAAGACACGCTGGATAAAATTAAAATTTTTTTTCACAGAACCTTTAGCTTTCCACAACTATTCACACAGAGCCTTTTTTCTGCTACATTAATATCACCATTAGCTGGTACTGAGAGCGCATTTCTTTTTTTCTCCCTTTCTTCGCTTTGATTAATAGTGTGTATTAATCAAAGCATAATGTATCGCAAGCTTCTCTAGACAGTGCGTGTACGCATGCAAGCGTGTGCAAATGTGGGCAGCATTTTGGGGAATGTCTCCAGAGTTATGCAGTGGGTTAGCCATTCATTGCCCTCCTCTGCACAACGGACAGAATCACACAACCATGAGGCTCGGCCGTGGATGGATTCCTGGAATGTTAAACTACCGCACCCGACACTCCCCACTCCCACTCACTGAGAACACACACAAATGCTTAACTCCCCATCTCTTCTTCCCCACCCCATCAGTGACAGGGGAAACAGCATTAACAGCGAAGAGGAAGTAGAGACCGAGAGTAAACGGATGAGATACAGGTGAAAGGGAGTAGCTCATTAACAAATGGTGTTCTGGCAGTAGACGGTTCTCAGGAAAGGGCTTTCATGGAATAGTTAATCAGTTTTGGTTCAAGCCTCTTGCAGAAATGCAACATGTAACTGCATATATTACAGTGTCGTATCACTGAGTTTAATATTTCAGTTGTGTCTGGCAAGCTTTAAAGTATGCAAATAGCAGTCAGCTGACTGCCTGCACAGCGGCAAGGAAAAAGAAAGACAAGAAAAAAGTAAAATAATTGCATTACTTAAACATGGGATGACTGAATAGGAACTAACATACAATCGTCATCCCTTTCTTTCACCTGCCATCCCAATGGAGTCTGTACTTATTACATCTGTTTAGGCTTTAGGGAAGCAATTACTGGAAGGTGACTGACCAAGGTTACTAATTAACTAAAAAGCTCTGTAAGTTTGTTAGGAGAAAATAGCAAGATTGGATTGGATTTTACCTCTCTGTAACCTCACGGAAAAATGCGTAATGACACATGGCTAGTCATAACCTTTGGACAGTGTTGTTTACTTTTTATTATTTGAAAAAATATATGAACAAAAGACCGTGCAGGTTCGGATTCATAGCAGCTTTGTGCACATCCGCGTATTAGATTCCTCCACTTGCAGGTAAGTCCTGTTGAATCCAAAAAAGTTGAGATATAAAGTAGACTCAATTTGAAAATCCAAGTCTGGATTAGATTCATATCCATCTGCTTTTTGAATTAACCCTCACTGTTCTTCCTTTCCAGTTGCAGTACCAAAAAAAGAGAGAGAGAGAGCCAGAAGACAAGCTATATAGGATCCATTTGTTAAATTTGGAACAAAATTTGTGTCACAATCATAAATACATTTTGAAAATCTCTTGGCAGTCGCTGTGGAATGAATGGTAGCTAGTGCACAGAGGTGAGTCAATTTTTAAAAGTAGATGTGAATTGATGAGAGCTGGCAATGGAGGGAAAAGTTCAATAATGTCAGTATAATCTCTATAGTTAATTGGATGTTCCTAACATCCTGTACGTGGTGGCAGTGTGGGCAGGTGTGCAGGGATGGTTTTGCAAAATCCATTGTCTGGAATTGACTCTCTGACGCACAGAGGGGTAGTGGGGCCAAATCCCATTGATCTTAATTGGATTTTGGAGGTTGATTGACATACACACTGATTCCACTGTATTTTGGCATGTGGTCCGTGACCCATGCAAAGGATAGCAAAAAGAGAAGCTGTGCATTTTAATTCCATGTCCTGTCAACAAGATGGGGGTCGAATCAGTTTGACTTGCTACATACAGAGAGAGATATTTCCAGTATGATCTTATTTTTGGATGCGTGGATGTTTAGCAGAAACCCGGTTTATTAAATCGTCAGTTATGTCGGGGGGAAAAAAAAGAATGAGAGAAAGAGGAACAAGATGAAAGGGTGTGGGAGGTGGTAGCTCTATGTCAAGGCCTTTTGCTTATATTCAAGCCTCTCTGGAATTGGGACAGGTGACCTTGCTCTGCCTCCTCCGCGCCTAGATCAATACTTTCCCACTATTTTAGACCAACATGCTTTGATGCTCCACAGCTGAAGTAAAAGAGGGGGGGAAGAGACAAGAGTGAGACAAATATGGAGGAACTGCAAGAGCTGGCCAAAAGGGGAGGGAGTGAGGGAGAGTGTGAGGGATGAGTGTTAAGGAGGGGTGAAGGAGAAATAGATGGAGGAAAGGAGGGACGGATAGCGTGAGGGGGAGTACAGGAGGGAAAAAGGACAGGAAGGATGTTAAGATGGGTTGAAGGAGAAGCGGGAGGAGAACAAGAGGAGGGGGGGAAAGGGCTGAATGAAAGGAGGGAGGCAGGGAGCAGTGATCTGTCAAACCAGGCAGACTTATCCTCCGCCCAGTAATCTGAGGTACAGTGTTTGTTTATTTTCTGTCCTCATTTAGACACAGGGACAGACCTGGGGAGGGAGGGGAGGATGTTGGCCATCTCGACAGGCCCATTTCCCCAACCCCTATTGTGTAGGGAATAGAAAATAGGGTTTGGCTAACCAAAACCCTCCCTGAGGTTTCTTTGGTGACAACTAAAATACAGATATAGTGCTCATTCAATGTGTTTTTTTTCCATGCACAGAGCAAATGATTAACATTCTCTGAATTCTCCAAATCCCCTATTCATATAGTCAAGGCTGAGTGTATCTGTAAAGTCTGAGTGTGTATCAGAAAGCCTCTTCTTCTCTTTTCTGAGGCTTGTGAGGCTGTCTATCTGTGCTGTGACAGCATCCGATTCTCCTCTTTAAGCCAACAGAAACATCTCAATCCCACACACTTAACACTGACACAAAAGGAACGATGTGATGTGACGTGTATGTGCGAGCGCGTGCGACTGTGAATGTGTGTTTTGGTCTATTAAGTCTTGGCCCTGTCTTTTATTTTGTAGGTGAGTGGGGCTCAACTGAAAAGACATGACTAGGCTCAGAGTTGTACCCTTCCTTTGCTTTTCTTCCGCTCACAAAAACAGGCAGAACTCGGGACAAAAGATCCAATTACTAGACTGTAAAAGCTAAAGAAACAAACACACGAGCTGAATACACACATGCGCGCGCACACAAATGTGCCCACGCGGACGTGGACTCAAGCAAATGCATGCTCACACTGGGACACACACACACACACACACACAGACACACACACACACACAGTTTAACACCCTCATTGAAGGCAGAAAAAACTGACAGAACAAAGAAAAAAAAAAATCTCTTGTTAACACAGACAAATTAAGCACCAATGCGGCCGCTTATTGATCTATTATTGATATGATTAGGAAATGATTTATTACACTGTAACAGGAAGAATTCTGTGATTTAAGAGCTTATTTTACTCATTTTAGCTGAGCATATCAGTTTTTAAAGAGAAGAATAATTATTGGTTGCTCGGTCGTGCACAGATATATACCAAGAAGCAAAGATTTGTAGCGAACAAATAGGTGAAGATCACCTTTTTATTGCTTGCTGTAATTGTGTTCTTTGTTTATGACATTTGGTGAGTTTGGATGTATTTGTTAATTTTGAAAGACCTTCTAACAGCTTGCAGAGATTTATACATTGTAGTTGGAGCAATTTGGTAAGTAAATATCTGAACAGTTGCTGCTGCACTGTTGTGTTATTTTGCTGCGGTGAAATACAGCCGTAGACCCACTGATACCCACAAAGAAACTGTCACATAAAACCAAACAAATTTTCTCAAGACAGCACGAGCGATCCCAGCAAAATGTTCTCTCACTGAGTCACTGCTGACTAGTCATCACTGGCATTACCACACAAACTGGTTACACACTCAAGTGGCACCACACACACACACACACACACACACACACACGTGCACCAATATGCACACACTTGCACACACAGGGATTCAGAGTTATCCAGATAACAGTGGCTGATGATGGAAAGTACTACAACAGAGGAGTTGCATGCCAGAAGCAGTCACGCCTGTATGTTTTATGTATCGCAGGTGACCACGTAAGCAGGTACTCAAAGATAAAGTAGTAGAAAATTTGTGTATGTCTAAGTTATATTGAGGTGTGTGTGTGTGTGTGTGTGTATGTGTATAACAATCAGGGTGAGTGCAGTGTTAGTAAATAGTGACTTACAAGACAGGGAGTGTCCTCCTTTGGGCAGGTACTCATACAACAAGGGGTTATCATCTCCCATCATCTCAGCCCGCAGTGACAGCAGGCTGTTCTTACTCATCAGCGCTGCCTTCAGATTGGCTACAGATGAGATTGTTCCACCCCCGGCTCCTCCCCCGGCCTCCTCCAATTCGTTGGTGCCCAGGAAGCTGGGCTCTGTGGCAAGAGGCTCTTCCTGTTTGAGGAAGAAGTCGAGGCGTTCGCCACGGCTGTCTGAGCTGTTGGGTTCAGTCACGTCTGCCCCTGAATAGAGATGAAGTAACAGAAGACGGGTGAGGTTCTTGTGGCCTTATACAACTAAAAATGGGTGACATTAAAATGCTATTCAAGCTCAAGCTGGTGTTTTAAATCACTGAAGCACTGTTTTAATATATTTGAGGGATTATATGTTTCTCTATAGGATGAAAATTCCATCACTTTTGACACTGTGAAGCATCTCCAAAGGGGATAAACAGGGATGGCCAAACTACAAAAAACAAGAAAAAAAGTTGACACTTTTAGGTTTCACCTGACAGTGATAACAGCCTGAGTGAAAGCACAAAAAAACACCATATTAAACCAATCCTTTCAACCCTCTCAGCCAAGTCATCGTTTACACCCAGTGTTTTTGGTAGCGACTACCAACACGTCACCACTCTGATTCATCCCTCGCGCTCCTCGACTCCCTAACATACCTCATCATCACCAGTCAACAAAAATATAGAGAGATCATAAAGAGACAGTGTGAGAGCGAATGGCAGACACAGACGTGATCCATGTGTGCGCGCGTGTTTATGCGCTATGCCTGTGAGCGTGTGCGCTTGAGTGTGTGTGTGTGTGTGTGCGTGCGTGTGTGCGTGTGTGCATTTAGCCATCAGACTTGTTGAAAGCAGAGAGAAGCTGTCAGCAGTAGACATGTCGCTGGAGGTTCCACTGTAGATCTACAAGACTGTCAGACCACACTGCTGACGACAGCTCTGCTCGGCACACACACACACATGCACACACGCAAACAAAAACACACACAAATACAGACACAAACACACTTTTATTACCTCCTAATTGACATTTAGCTGATGACAGGTTGCTTTCTCCAACAAAGAAGTAGACAAAAATACACACCAGGCACATCACTGGCTTAGAGTCTTTGAAAGAATGGCTTGTCTACATCTAAAACAAACACAGAGACTTCTGAGAGCTAATGCAGACTTGAGTCTTGCCTTAAGGAGAGGGGTGTGTGTACATAATTATGTGTGACTGTTCTGGACAGAAACCTTCTGACATCCTAATATATAAGTTTACCGTTGCACAGCGCCCATGCAGCGACAGCTGAAATCACACTCAGAGCTAATGGGGAATAAACAGAGTGAGGACAGTAACTAGGGTGATGCGGGGGCACTGAGAACAAAAATGGGTGGGGAAGCAAAAGAGGAAAGAAAACATGAAAAAATATAATGGAAGCAAGAAAACAAAATAGCCCTATTGTTCATTTTAACTACAGTTAGGCAGTGTTAAGTGTTTCCGTGCAGCCTGGTGGCCGTCTGCTGCAGGGGAGTCAAGGTGACAAAGACAGTAGTTTGGCTCCACGTCTGGAATACCGATGGGTATACAGCTTTTTCTCAGCTTACTAGGTCAATGCTGACCACCCTCTCTCTCTCCCTCTCTCACACACAGACACAGGGAAACTGTCAGTCATTTTTCATGCTTGGGATAGATAAATGATCCCAGATCAGATGGATGGATACACGTTCTGTATGCATGGCTGCACATATAGATCTGAAAGGTGTAGAGAGATATGAGTGAGATATTGAGGATGGGGCGCCTCAGATGAGAGTGACATACATACGAAGTAATCAGTAGTCATCAAACGGCTAGCTAACGTATCACAAGATATTAAAAAAAAATAAGGGTGGGGGGAGTAAAGAGGAAAAAAAAGAGGAGGCATGGGCAGCGTAGAAAGAGATAAAGGAATAAAAAAGGCAAGGGAGTGTAAAAGCGGGGGTGTTGAGCTGTGGAGGAAGCACAGATGATACACACAAGACACACATGCGTGCATCCACGCACACCCCCGTCCCACCCGCACACACACACAAAGTTAATTAAGGAGGGGGTGTAGGGGTTGGCGCACAGGGCATTAGGTGCAGGAATTCATTAGAGCTCTGCCCCCTCCTTCAGTGGGCAGCCCAGCAGCCACAGGAGTCAATCAATAACATAGATCTGCTGTTGGCCAACAACAGCACACACACACACACTTGCACAAATACACACATATATGGAGAAAGAAGAGGCAGACAAATGGAAGGAGAGAGGGAAAAGAGGGTCATCTCTGACCCCTATCTCCTTCCACTCATCTGTTCATTGGGTGAGTGAATGACCCCAGAACGGTTTCCCAGCATCCCCTTAGACACGTGCATCTACAGATGGAACATATCCGCACTCCTTACAGTCATACAGTAACAATCCTTCAGTCACACATTGTAGATTGAATGGAAGGGTTATGGAAGAGTGATTGCTTCATGGTCTCCTTGCAGATGCCGGTCTAACTTCTGTCTTGCACAAAAAATGTGTGAAATGAATTTTTGTATTTGATGCATTAGTGAGCCACTTTCCCTTGCCTGCAACATGCAGTGCCATATCCTGTTTTTCTGAGGATATACCCACATATCCGGGACTAAGCGGGAGATATTAGAAATTAGTATTCAGCTGATCGCAAACAGGCTTCCTCGCTAAATAATCGGAATATACGGCATAATCCGCCTTTACTTATGTAAGCTTTATCGGGCCTGCGTAGATGCTGTCTTACTTAAACCTCATCCTGTTCTTACAGATAAAATCATTTACCACACCAGAACCAGTCGCACCTAATCCCACGCGCGCAGCTTATGGATTTCATCATACGTGTGCTGGGTTTGGTTGAGGATTTGTAGATACACATATTGTGGTGTCTTTCAAAGGCAATAGGTTTATCCCGAGTTTTAGAGACACTGTGGTTACATCATTCCTTTGTGCACATATGCTGAGTGTTAACGTACCGGTTGTCATGAGGCAACCTATGAATTTCAATGGCGTGGAATATGGCTTTGAACTGCGTGGTCAGATACAAAAAAAAAACAATAGCATTTTCCTCGTCTTTTTTTCCCCCTTCTCTTTTCTTCTGCCTTTACAGTGCAGCGGTCTCTGTACAGTGAAGGGAATTTTCATTTTCCCCTTCATAAAAGAGTCCGAATAATTTAGATTTCTGCTTTCTGAAGAGATCTTCCGTTTAATTTGGTTGCCATGGTAGCCGGGCACCCTTGGCTTCAACATTTATGCTAAATAAAACCCCCTTTTAAAAAGAGAGACAAATATGTGGAAATGGTGAGTTCTCTTTGTTCATGTGTGTGTTTTGCGTGCGTGTGCGCGCGCATGAGCGATGCTGCAAGCTATGCAGGGGCTTGAGTGGGAAAAAGCAAAGGAGGAATAAGACTTGCCTTGGAAATAAAATAGGTGTGCGCTGAACTATACTTCAAATGTGTTATGAGGAATCCTGAATTTATCATCCATTGAGCGAGTTACGGCTAATGGATAGAAGATAGAGTTTTATGCGCTGTGGTTGGAGGCTGCACTGTATCTAAGTGATATGTGTGTGTGTGTTTCACAAGGGGAGTTGTGTTACTAGAGAGCACGCTTTGACGCAGTAAAAAGGAGGAGAGAGAAGGCCTGAAAAGGGAGGGAAGGGTCGGGCGACCCAGTTTGACCTCTGATCTTCTGTTCTGATTGTGTGTGTGCGGGCGGGTGTTTGTGTGTGTTTCTCGCTACAAATGCCTCCCTCTTCTCTAAATGAAGCCTGACACTGTTTTGAGAGGGAGTTTCCATTTTCCAAATATAAAGATTCTAATAGATTTAAAAAAAAAAAGAAAGAAAGAAAAAAAAGGCACAAAACTCCCCCAAAAAGATTTCTACAGGTTTCGCACTCAAGCGCACATGACCTGGCTAATGATGGACACGCTCCTTCGACACCTCGAGTCACAAACACACACTCACATAACTCACCCCGCCTTCAAATCAACAGAGACAGTAACCAAACACAATGGAGAGAAAAAGTCCAGGGTGGTTAAGCAACGAGTTACTGAGGCTTGACGACCACAAGAGAGCTGTCAGAGAAGAAAGTAGGGCTTGTGTGCATGTTTGAGTATGAGAGAGTGCAAACAAAGGAGAAAGACTCTCTCAATGTGTATCCCTCCATGCATATATGTGCGCATGTGTGTGTGTGAGAGACAGTGGAGGATACAGAAAGAAGCCTTGCCCCAAGTCGGCCCGGTTAATGGGTTGACCAGCCTGAGGTTGAAAAGGACAAGGCATTACAAGAGCCATGTTGCTCACAAGACTGCGCTGCTGTCCGCGTTGTCTGCGCGCCGCCGTCACAGCGTCAAGCTTCCAAATGAGAAAATGAAAGTCTCTCCTTCACCTTTTATTACAAACAGTTCCGTACGCTGAACCTGTGATTAGTGCGTGTTTGTCCTCGAGTGGACAAAGAGGGGAGGGAAGGTGGAACTTGCTTCCTCAGCATGCCAGAGTTTGAGAGGGTAAAAAAGTAATTTCAGCTGAGAAGGGGGAGTGAGGCACTAAAACAGCTCAAGAATTCAGAGGCAATTTAAAAAGCAGTGTGGGAGAGGAGAATGAAAAAAATGCTGGGTTAAAAAGGAGGGAGGATGGAAAGTAAAAGAGGTTGTTATCCTCTCTCTCTCTCTCTCTCGCTGTTGCTTTCTTTCTCTGTTGTTTTTAGGGACTAGCCGGGCCACAACCTCCAGGAGAGATAGGGAAGGATGGGTGGGTGGGTGTGTGGTGGTGGGGAGGTGGATAGGGAGGGCAAGCATAAATCAAGCAGTGCCTGAAGGCTTTAGAGGAGGGAGGGACAGAGGGAAGAAAGTGGTAAAGGACAGGAGAGAGAAAGAGAGAGAGAGAGAGTGAGATGATGGTGCTGGTAGTGATGGTGGTACTGCTGGGGGCTCGGAGGAAAAAGAGAGAGTGTGGGTGGAGGGGAGGAGAGGAGAAAAGAGAAGAGGAGCACAACGATTGCAAGAGTGGTGGGGTGAGAGGTGGACGGTGGGGTGATGGAGCGTGGGTGGGTGGGTGAGTGAAGGGGAAGCGAGGAGAGGTGAGGGGGAGGTTACAGAGGCTCCGGGAGGGAGGGTTGGGTGGTGACGGTGGGGGCGAACGAGCGAGTGTGAGAGTAGGCTACGGAAAGCCAGCTAAATTTGAAAACGCTTGCCTTTCTCTGTGCT